CGTTCGATCCTTCGCTGGCTGTGCTGATTTAAATCTAGCGGTTCTTTTGTGTTTGTGTCGCAAGTTCAGTGACGCAGGTAGTGACGATTCTCTCCGGCCAATCCGTGATCAGCAGAGTTTACACGTCACGTTTTGGAAACGGTACGGTTCACTTGGAACCCCAACCGAGGTGGTACTAAAAAAAGTACCAGGTACTGTACCCAGTGGAAAACCCCCAAAAAGTGAACCGTACCGAGCCGTACCGTGCCGTACCATGCAGTGGAAAAGCGCCACTAGTGTTGTTTGTTTTGACACATGAGGCTGAGCGGGAGAATTCAGATGCAGATTTGCCGCGCCATAGAGTGCCAATCACATAGTTTTCTATTAAATTACATTATATTTGTCCCAAATCGTTGTTAATGTACATAATGACTTCACCCTATGCTGTAAAATTGTGTATTGTGCATTTTTCAGCGAATGGTTTGTCTTTCTGTGGCTCTCATAAAGTATGCTTAATTTATTGAGCTATAGATCATGCTTTCTCTTTCCGTTTGCTCTGTTTATTTAAACACTGAACTTCGAACTCATCTATGCCACATTGTTCATTATTGCAGTGAACCTTTGCCCATTTGGTGATTTAAATAAACTTAGACCGCCGCTTGAACTGAACGTGATGCATCCGGTTTGTGTGATACCTGCAAGTTCTCCTAGACGCGGGCAGCCCTGTGCTATTGCCAGGTGCTATTGAACATATTTTATTTTGATTAGATAATCATCGTGTTCTAAATCAGAAGCATATAAAGTGTGCGATTATGGTCCATGTACTTTTGCGTCCATTCATTTTTAATTTTTTTAACCCAGAAGTGAAATACGGAAAATGCGGTTGTTTCTTTAATAGTTCAAACACTGATGAATAGAATAAGCAGACACAAACAAATTAAAATTTTTCAAAATTCGTAAGAACAATGTAAGAACAATCATTTTAAGCATATTGTATGCATTATAAACAGTGAAATAAGCATGTTTTGTTTTTGTTTTATTTTTCATGATGTTAATGCACCCTCACTAATTTCAGAAGCACCCTCAGTGATTTGATTCTGGAACCGGGCCTGCCTGTACCAGGAGATTATATTTTTAAATATTTCTATAATATGTTTATATATTTACCACGTATATATTAAAGCCTCCTGTGCATAGCACATTAACACATGAGTATGCTTTGATGCTGATTATACTGATTATAATCTTATACTGATTATACTGATTATACTGTATGCTTTGACCGACCGCTTGGTCCTCTCCAATACCTTGACCCAGATAGCACACAAAATTATGACGAAATTATGCCACAATATATAATTTCATGATGATAAAGTTTCCAGGAATCTGCCATGTCTATTTTAAAATCATATTTGTCTGTCTCTGCATTAGTCCAGAGATGGCTCTAGTTCTCAACAGAACATGCGGGAAAAGCATTACTTTTAAAATTTGGCCAAAGAAAACTTAAATTCGACTTTTTTTTCTACATTTCTATATTTTCTATATTAATTTGTGCATCAAATGTTTGTCAAAGGTGCAAAAAGTCATAAACAAAAATCTGAAAAAGTCAATTTTTTACTTTTTTGGGCAGCATTTTGTGTGTACGGTTTAAATTTAAATTTTTGTTTTCAGCATAGCATTTAAAGGCATAGTTCACCCAAAAATTAGAATTCTGTCATTAATTACTCACCCTCATGTCATTCCAAACCCGTGTAAGGACCCACCCGCCAGCCCAAAAAGCAGAATCCAGCAGCCTGGTCGAAGGTTTAATGCGTATTCGGTCTTTTACTTGCGCTTCTGAATTTATCAGGACTTAGTTTCAATTTTGTCTAGCTCCGTTTTCAATCTGACTCCAATTTCACGTGATCATTAAATTTAGGCAATATTTCTAA